CTACATAAGTACTTACCTATACCCAGGATATTTAAGAAGGTAATGACGACTTTTACGCTTACCTTACATTCACTAAAATTACTAAATTTCCATACATTTCATAAGTAGATTCACGGTACGGTATTTAAGAAGTCAAGTAAAATAAAATCGTAAAATTAATACCTATTAATATGTACAAATAAGTAATACTGAAAGCAGTACATCATCTCATTATCAATACTTACGTTGGACTAACAAAATAAATTACGCGCGTAAAGAAAAAGCAATCTGAAAAGCCACTCTAAAATTATAGGTTTTACATAAAAATATTATTTTATGCACGTCCTATTGACTGTTTTACACTGATCACTAGGTTTGGTGAAACACGAAACGACACAGCACATAAAATAATTCTTAGTTCTTAGTAATTACTGTTTCCATAAATTAGGCACTCCGCCGAAGATGGTCTGCAGTCAGTTTGTTTTGTCGAGATTAGGTGTTAAAATCGTGTTGATAGTCGATACATAACTAAACACACATACTAACTTTTAAAATTCGGGTTTTTTGTGATATAAAATTCTAATCGAAAACTATACAGCAGTGCTAGCCAAATGCCATTTAGCGCTTGTCTACATGTAGAATAGAAAACCAAATTATATGGAATTGACGTAAATTTTGACACTTGTCAGTGTCATCCCCATACATTTTGATATCTACTCTCACTGTAGACAAGCGCTAAAGTGGCTTTTGGCTAGAGGCCCAGGTTTCCCTAAAGTCGAAGGGCAAATTGCATTGGCAAGGTTACCACAGCTACGAGAAAAAGAGGTTTTTTAAGTCATAGGTATAAGTTTTAAATCACAGTGACTTGTTTTATCCATGAAAAAACACCTGTGCCGGTCTTTTTACTTTTGTTGGTACAAAATTAATTTTTCGTCTGTATTTTTGCTTACGTTATCCTGAATAGTGTTTCAGTAATATGGATCAATGCTTTAGTTATTTTGAAAAAAGATGTAATTTTTTTGACGTACCGAGTACTTTGAATAATGAATAATTATTTGAGTTAAGTTAAAGCGCATGTACTGAAAAAAAAAAAGAAATTACTGCGCTGGTAGTGGCAAATTTAACCATTGTTGGCCCATTTAATAAGGATTCTAAAATGGTTTATCACACTACGGTATACCTTAGATTCAGAACAAAAAAAAAAAAAAATTCAATGAATCTGTTTCAAATAATCTATTTGAACTTACCAATCAACATTCTTACAAATTATGTATTTCTGTTATCGCTATTTAACAACAAATATTAAATAATAATTTTTACGGGACTCTTTTTATTTGAGCCCCGTAAATATTTTAATATAAAAGACAAATGATTCAATAAATGTGATTTTGGCATTTTTGGCACGGAACCAATCCTGTGCGAATCCGACTCGAACTTGGCTGGTTTTTTACGCATGAAAATCGTAAAAGTTTAATTATTGTTTTCGTCCATTGTAAGTACGTGGGGAGGTTTAATATTCCAATCGGGATTTTGATTCATACTAGAATATATAATAATGATAACTATAATAATTCCATACCCCAACCAACGGATATCGCATCCCTTTTCCAGTTTCCAACTGTGCCTAAGCACTCTGCTTGAATCTGTATTATAAAACGATTTATACCAGTGCCTACATCGGCCATCTCTAAAGTTACTTTACTTGTTTATTACTATAGCTAGAAACAGGAACGGATATTAAATGGTAAATCATTGCTGTTTTTTTTCTGATGAAACTTTGGTTTTTGTTTTCGAAATGGTTATAAGCTTATTACTACTACGATTGATTTGTAAATGATTTTACTCTGTAATTCATGAATAATACCTATGTGTATTATGTACAAACAATATTAATACGGGTGCAGTGTTACTTGTGGTTTTTATCCACAGCTGACCAATGCTATCGATTTTCTACTTACCGCGCACGTGTCCTATACGGGGGTATACGGTACTTGCTTATTTGCAGTTCGTAATTGCATTATACATAGGTCCCTACCTATTAGTCTTCCTCCCTTATTAAGTCTTCATTATTTAACCCAGATTTAATAAACATATTCCTCGTAATAAGTATGCAGGAATTAAGAAATATTGTCATATTAAATTATTTTTGATACGAACACCTCAACTTCGTTAGATTATATCTGCCACTCCAATCGTTCCAAATACCGACAACTGTACTTGCATATAATAAAACTAGAATATTTGTATTTATTAAGTATAATAATTGTACATTGAAAATTTTAAAACATATTTTATTAAATACAAATACATTATAATAATAAACTCTATACATGTCATATTATACCTAAATGGGAAAAAATTGTGCGTTTTATGTGTTTGTTAGTTTGCGTGTATTTTTGTTACTCATTGACATCAAAACGGCTGAAGGGAGAAGGATGAAATTTGGAACAGGGGTAGATTATGGTCTGAAATAATACATAGGCCGATTTTTTACTCCGGGAATGCAGGCGAAGCCGCCGGCAGGCAGAAGCTAGTTTGTTTGTTCCGCTTTCACGCCGTAAATTCTAAACCGATTGCTTTGAATTTTTGCAGACGTAAAATTAGAAGTCCGGATTAAATAATAGGGTACTTTTTATCCCGGAAAATTTTGGTATTCACGAGAGAAAACAAAAGAATTGGTATAGATGGCGCTGTGTGTATTGCTATAGGCTAATTTTATCCTTTTGTGACGCGAGCGAAGCCGCGGGTAAAAGCTAGTACCAAATAAAATAAGAATATTGTAAAAAATCAAGCCTTTAACCTTGGACACACACCAAAGTCAAGGTCGTCAAAAACCGTCGTTAACCCCTTAAAATTTAAACTTTAACGTGCCTCCTATTGTATCATTGATGGATGACAATAATACGTTTTGGTTGACTTGATATAGGCAAAAAAAAAACCTAAATGGAGAGGGGGACGCATGCGCTAGCTGGGTCAATAACCTAAGCGCGTGAACCGATTTGAAATAACTCCCCATCATGTCATGATGAACGTTCATCGTGGTCCGTTCGCTGTACAATCAAGGACAAAGGATACTTAAGTATGTGTAATTGTTGGTTGTTTGTAACAGAGTTAATACAATCGTATGCTGGTCCCCTATAGGTTAACTTATTTTATTGGTCGATGATATTATTTATTATTGTAATATAGTCTGTCTACTTTTCAGACTGTACAATTATTGTCACATACACATACTCGTTCACTGTACAACCGTACAACGCAATTAGATCCAGTCCTTATTTTTAGCTTGTAGTAAGTGAATGTTTGCGGAGAGATAAGCATCGAGTCCTGACTGCGTGACTAATGTCATTGCTATTTATATTTGTATTGAGTGTAACGAGTGGGATAATGAACGATAAAGGCGACGATGCGCTAGGAAGGAATTCGGTCCACTACTAATGATCCGTGTGAACAATATCCATACGCGGGTTGTTTTACTCTCAGTTTCATTTTAAACGCCGTGACTGTTGTGTGCTTCTGAATTTAGTGAGTTACACATACTATTTATTATGTAAAACCAGCATTTTATAATAAAAACTGATTGTGAATCTGATAAATATGTTTTATAAGTTTTATAACAAATATTTATTATACTCGTCGTGAAAATTTTGGTTACCACGTGTTCTTGTTGCCTGACCCGATTTAAACAATACATACCTATATTTAATTAATTAGTACGTACGTGTAAAGTGAAAAAAGGCGTTTGGAATATAGGTATCCTTAGCAATATGAGTCATTGTGGGCATTATGGCTTAGTATATTATTTAAATACCAAACGATTCTTGTACTTAAATACCAAACTAATTATTGACATCGCCGTATGCCGTGTGTTTGTGATCTATGCATCTCTCGGTGCACTTTCACAGTGACTATTTTGGGCGGCAGTTGAAATTTATTTTGAGCATATACCGAGCACCGTGACCCACTGACGTCCTTTGTATTCCAATTTTGTTACTCCTTATAGCTCGGTTATTTGTAGCTCATATTCGTTCAAAATTAGCGCTTATGTTCTTTGTGTGGTTTTGTAATTTAAGGGTGATTATTTGTCGAAGGATAACTTTTTTGTATTGGTTTTTTCTATTTTACACCACAACAACAAATATCTACAAGTTACAACTAGGTATATAAATACTGTGTAAATTTAAAGAAGTACCAGTAATCCTCAAATTGTGGCTGTGCAATATGCAATACAGGTATATAATACTGAGTAACAAGTAATGTGGTAAACATTTTTAATCATATTATTTACATCTTCCTATCTTTGAAGGTTATAAGTGGATGTCGACCACAAACAAATATGTAATGGCTAATTCAAATACCATAGGAACAATTAATAGTCAAACAAAATATGAATTTCTACTTATTTACGATGGGGATTAGAATTTTAATTAACATATCTGTATTATTCATCAATTAACTGGTAACGTTTATTGATGAATATAATTAGTTAAGATATATATATATATATGTATATGTACCTATATATACCCTACTTGTTTTTTAAAATATTCGATGTAATTATTATCATTAAATATTTACTGAAATATACTAGCTGCTAGTGCCTAGCAGTTGTAAAGAGGAGGACAAAAGATATTTCTATTTGTGTTGCGAACTTTCACTGATGTGTGTGTTAGGGTAGGGTCTATCCCCGTCCGTTATTGAAACAAGTCTCTGGGCTCGCGTTATCAACGTTACAGGAAATGTGCATCGGTGCTCATACTGGTCATTACATTCCTGTACCGCGTGTTGCACACTGTTTCCACACTCGACAAAGCACTGCTCTGTGCGCGCGCTATCCCTACTACAGTTGTCACTATAATTTATTTAACACTATTATAGGCACCTTATTCAAGATACAGTATTCTTAACTTTTCTTTAACACTCTGAAACATTTAGTTCAAAAACGAATGATCGACCATACATTTTCATTTGTGAATATACATTTAAAAAAAAAAATATTTCTGATTAGGTCAGCAATAATTATGGGTGCTAAGCAGAGCAAGCGCTCGGTGGATATAAGCGGCAAAGAAGCGGAGGGTGCAGGCGAAGTGGCTGCAGCAGGCGCAGGCGGTGAAGGTCGTGTAGAGCAGCTAGCCGACGCTGACGCACTGAAACCTCAACTCAATGGCGATGCGCACATACACGAACAAACGGTAAACTCATTACAGACATTAAGTAGCGTTATTATTTATAAACGATGTTATCACATTGTTTACTAACATTAATGGTAATAAAATTCCACCTATCACTAAACAGTACACATAATCACTTTTTTGTTTTGCCATTCATTTGTAAAGTTTTAACTTTTTAGTTCAATGAGTTGATGTCCCTTGTATTTTTTTTATAGGAGAACCAAAAGGACGTTGACAGTGGCACTCCAGAAAATGAAAAAGACACTGCCACAGAGAAGGAAGCAAAAGTAAATGAAGACGAGAAAGAAGCGGCTCCTCTAACAAACGGTGAAAGTGAGCCAAAAGTAGAGAACGGAGATTCTACGCCAACTCCCGAAGACGGAAAGAAACCTAAAAAGGAGAAGGTAATTAATACTTTGAAATAAATATTAAACACTTAAATCCACTTTAACATGTGTTGATTTGTTTGCATGAGTTTAAGTTTTACCAAAAATCTTAACCAAGCATGTTATGACAGGTCAAGAAGAAATGGTCGCTCAGGTCGATCAGTTTCAGCAGAAAAGACAAACCCAAACAAGAAAAAAAGCAAAAAGAAGAGGAACCTAAAACTAATGGCGAAACAGAGAAAGTACCAGAAGAGGTATGTATTTATTTCCATGTTTCATTATCTTTTGGAGGCGAGTTCTCATTTGCCAGGATTTGCTAAATATTAATTTTGGAACGTGGTCGGGTAAATATGTTAAAAGAGCGTTATGCAATTTGCTTCCCCTTATGGAAAAAAACAGATATGAAGTTGTATAATGTTACTTTCTGTGGCCTGTAATTACGTCATGCCAGACACAAGGATTTTTGACAAGCGCACTTATGCGTCGCTGAATTTATTTGTGGCCCACAGTTTTAACGTTGCCAATCCGCAAACTATTCGAAAAATGAAAAAAATTTCAACTTTAGTGCACAATTAGGCAAGACCTAACCATTTTCAATGCGGTCGCGAATATAGTGCTCGGTGTGAGGTCCTCCATTACGAGTGTGACCACTGGTAGATTAAACTAGCTACTTTCTATTGTCCTCCGTACGATGACCCAAACAGTGATTGCCATCACATCGTATGGGTATTGTTTGACATTGTAGAGTTACAAGGACCTAACTGTTTTCAGAAGTTGTTATCGTACATAAACAGAAGAAAGGTATGCATGCAAGCAAGGTTGCTTAATGGTACACAGAAAATTACGAGAATCTCAAGGCAGGAGACGATCGATCACTAAAGCGCCATATGTTTTATATGGCGCTAACATGTTTATTTGACATCCGTGAAAGACTGATCTGATTTTTAAGTTTATTTTCCGTTTTCTGTCCTTATTTCTTTCATCTTTGTGGTGGTTGGTTTACCTTAACGACGCGGCAGAATAAACAATTTTTAACATAATAATCAACCATGAAGTTATTTCTATAGTGGAGTCAAAATCGCGACCTTTCATTTTTAATATCCATTGAATTTTTTTTCTGCATGGTACATATAGAATTATAAAACAGTTCGGTTTACTTTCTTTGCGATTACTTCAAGACTTGATCTTTATGGGCTGATTTTATGAATGTGAGATAAATTTTATCGGAGAAATAATTTTGAATATTCGACAATTCTTACAAACTAAAAACTGTCAAATGTCAATTTAATTCTACAGATAAAAATAAGGATGATGACGGGTTTGAAAATAAAAATCTAATTAATCCATTAGTTCGGTAATAAAAAAACATTAGACATGTTTTTTTTTTATTTAAATATAAAAGGAGGGTGAATATCGAATCAAAGTTTAGGAGTGCTAACTACGTCATTTCTACGTATGAAACGTACCTAGAAGTGACGTCACACGATATTTCAAATCAATATTTGTTTAAAAAAGAAATTCCAGTAATACTCAAGTTTAGACAAGATAAACCAATAACAATAATTTTTAACTTGCTACTTTTGCGCGATTTTACCCGCTCTGCAGTCTCTGCTTTTACAGCCTATAACCGTCCCCGATAAAATGCACTATCCAACACAAAAATAATTATTAAAATCGGAGCAGTCCTTCTGGAGATTAGCGGCGGTCACACAAACTCTTCAGCTTTATATAATGGTATTAGATAAAAGATAATGTATTCTATGTATAATTATCATAATATAATACCATGCCTGCCTATTACAAAAAGCGGCAGTTGAGGAGCATGTTATATTAAAAAGAACACCCTGATTTTTGTTATTATGTATAACATGATTTATATGCTTATAAGATACTGAAAACTAGTCCTTTGTTAAGTGGCACAGATGCACATATTTCTCATTGATAGAGATCTAAACAGTTTTGAGTTTAGCAGACCGCATTATGCTAGAATTGATATGAAAGCAATAAAATTTGATTTTTAAAACAAAACAATTTACAATTTCATTTATAAATAACCAGCATGAAACAATCATATTATTATAATAGCAAAATAACCATATTTTGTCTGGTCTATTGTTTTATTAGATAACTAATACAATTATTATTACTATATTTTTAGTTATTTATAAAACACCAAAACCAATATTAATACCATTCTCATAATACTTAATTAAGATAACAGTTCCTGCCAAAATTAATCTTAATAGCTGGGAGCTAATGAGGCAGTGAATCAACACATTGTGTGCGCAGTGTACATATGTATAGATTGTTATTGGCCCAAAGAGTCATTGAACTTATGTGAAATTTTAAAAATAATTATAACTTATTAGCATAGCTACAAAAACGCGCACACGTGTTCAAATTGGAACCTACCAGGGGTTAAAATACTATGTATACATGGTATACAGTATGCCATGTTGTGTAGATGATCTCTTTTTACCCTTATAAGTATAGCTATTGCTAACAGTAAATAAATAAATATATATATAATTTTTATATTAATTTATACCTACATACTTTACCTACTAAAATAAAACAAGCTTATTAAAAATTATGATAAGATAAAAATAACTCCTATCATTGTGTACTGTACACAATAACTGAATAATGAATAATATATATACAACTACATGAAAACACCATTTAACTTGTGTATGTATAGTATTATTTATTTATTGAGCGTAGTTAAGGTTTATTATTCTTATTTTTGCCTTATGACCTTGCGGTCAGACTTATTAGAAACCAACGATTTCTATGACAAGTAACTATTGCGGCGTAGTGCATTGCACCCAAACTGGCGCAGCGCGAGGAACAATGCGCATTATAATTCAATGTGTAGCTATATCCGTGCTAACCAAACGTGCGCCGCCATTGTCGTCGGTGATATCGCTCTATTAGTGATAGTTTTAATTCATTGACGTGTATGACGCCAATTTCCTCTATTATGTATCCAACTGTATAATATAAGTTACCTTCAAACACTTACATCACGAGATAGTATTTTTAACTCGTTGAGTACCGTCATTATAGACACAATTAAAGCGGTCACCGGTGACCGCTTGGTGTTTGACAGTTTAACAAAATCGCGTAGTGATTAATATTTAGGAGTGTATTAATTTCAACCCTGGGCCGTCATTGTTTGGGCCCGGCTCATTTTTAATACTTTATACTTAGAGGCCGGTATTATATGAAAATGCTTATAGAACGAGTCGAGTAACGTCATAATTTTGACTCTTTGAACTATAAAGCACAATACAGGGTGTTTGGCGCATGGGCCGACAAAATTTTGTCAGAGATTTGAGAGCTACATTTTCCTACCCAAAAACCCTTCGTCCAAAATGTCACGGTTGGTATATACACATGATTTTACACACAAATTTATTTTGGACCACTAAACCCACAAACAAAAAGTTATTTCTAATTAAAAGAAACATTTCGGGAAATATTTTCATTTCGATAAAAACAATCATTATGTGACCAACCGTGACATTTGGAACAACGTGTTTTCGGGTAAAAGGTAGCTAAAGACCTCCTGAATCTCTGAAAAAATTGTGTCGGTCCATGTGCGCCTAGCAGCTTGTATGTTTCGCCTTGCATCGGTAGGAAACTTGATGAAAACAGTAGGTGGGTTCTTAATGGCTGACTAAACTGACTTCTGTAAATTTGACAACATTAGGTAAAAACCCGTGTTTGAAGTTAGTTGTCAACACCACCTTAAACAGGTTTCTCCAGAAATGGAGCCAGAGACTTCAGTTTTCTATCGAAAATTTTGTGAATATTTTTGGTACATATTCACATGCATGCATATTTTAGCACTTTATTGCTACATGCAAGCAATCCGGTCTATAGTAATTATTGTGTTGATATTTTCAATAAAATAATGCTGATTAGTACTATGTCTTGCAGTATTATGGCTTCCATTCCCACACAGAATAACTTTAGGCACCTGTTTCACCACCTTCATATAAGTACCCGATAAACGTATGTGACTGATAGTTCATACAATTAATTACGTTCTTAATCTTAATACTTATTTTGTCTTAGCTATTACCTATTAAGTGCCTCAATGTTACTATTTTTCTGCTAACTCTGTGTAATGTAGCTATTCACCATTTAATAAATAAATAAATAAAAATTTATCTGGTAGGTACTAACTGTCCACACGACTTCGTCCGCGTGGAAAAAGTAACATATGTTACTCCATAGTATATCAGCTACTTCCTAATAAAAGTCCCTTATAAATCGGTCCAGCTTTTTCAAAGATTAGCCCGAACAAATAGACGGACATACAAAAATTGTAAAAAGTGTTATTTAGCTATATGTCCCATCATTGCATGTATGCATGTAGTTATAAGCAGTTATTTCAATCTTACAAATAGACATAACCTCACGTCTATCTCCCATGGGCAGTCAGAGACTATGGAACGCCAACTGATACGATTCGACACTCCAATTTTATTTATGTGTATAGATAAAGCACCTATTCAAACTATTTCACATATTGTGAATGTCCTTCGTGAAATAAATTTACTAAAAACTTCGCTAAGGTTCTTTAAAAATAAGTTAAGTACTTAAAATTTTTTACGAACAAGTTTTTTAAATGTTCTGCAAGTTAAATTTCTGATAATAACATAGTAAGTACAATTACTACTTTGAATTTGATACTCACTTGGAATTTTAAAATGTCGAAAATTTCACGTTTAATAGTTAATAAAGTAGTTACCCAGGATGTTTGTTGTTCCATTGTTTACACATGGACTAACTCTTTTATATTCAGGTTTTTTGTCTCCTGGAATTAATGACATTAGAATAACATTAGCAATCAACATTTTTATAATCATGAGTTTTCACACAACAGTGTCAATAAAGGAAACTGATCTCTCTCTTGTTATGTCAATGCAGTATTCAGTCGTTGTATTATGAAAATACAACGGATGGACAGCGCCAGGGACAAGTGTTCGCCACTCCAACGTCATTCAATAAACATGCAATCTGAGCTCGATAACTTCATTATGTTTCCTTTACCAGTAGTCGGTTTTGATACCTACGAATGCGCAGAGTACGATGTATTGTTCGTGCAGTTTAGCATCTTGTTACAATTTAAATGAAAACACGCAACATATAAAACGCACTTGTGTGTAAAATATATAACTACTAGCTTCTGCCTGCGACTTCGTACGCGCAATCCCGTTTTCTCCCGTTCCAGTAGGATTTTCAGGAATTTTTTCTATCATAAGAACCTTCTCCTGACGATAACAAACACAACTAAAAAAAAACAGTCAGATCGGTCTAGCCGTTCTCAATTTATGTCGTGACAACGGGAAAAGGGTTTAATTTTTATATATATTATAACTATTTAATATAAAACGTAAATTGCTGTGGTCCAGATTTAAACAGGGACATGACAAAACGTAAAACAAGCAATATAAGGAAAAGCTGTTTGCCAACCTCCTACATTTCAGTCTCTCGACCGCGACCCGTCCGGACTCCGGACCTACCCGCCCACGTGTTACTTCGCAAAACCTGCTCAGGACTGCTAATTTTATTTTGCACTTGCAAACTCCACAAACTTGTTTCATAATGCTCCCGTCCTTGCGTCATCATCACTGCATCGAAAGATGATTGTGTAAAACTCAACTAAATATTCTTACTTTATGAATTAATCCATAAACGTGATAAACTGATACTATGTGTGTAGTTAATCTCAGTATGAGCATAATTATAATAATTCCGGAACAACTACAACCTTATTAAGAAAAAATATAAATTTGGAAGCCCTTTGTCGTCCAGGTTCTAATTCACATTTTTCTGCTCTAATGTGGTTACACCAAAATTTGACAACTTGAATTAAAATAACTACAGGTTGTTCTGATTACAAATTTAATTATGTCAGCAAATAAAGTCCTCGTTATTCCCCAATCAATGGGGATGATGACAGGGTATGAAAATTAAAAATATAATTAGTCCGTAAGTTAGGTAATGAAAAAATATTAGACACGTATTTTTTTATTTTGTTGTATAATAAAACAATATTTAGATAAAACGAATCAAAGTTTAGGAGTGGGGGCTAAAACGTCATTCCTTAGTATAAAATGTACTGAGAAGTGACGTCACGCGACATTTCAAATCAATATATCTTCGAAACTATTCGTTTCTGTGAGAAAATAAAAAATACGTGTCTAATGTTTTTAAATAATCTATCAGACGGACATTAAAATAAAAATTAGTCGTCTACCCTATTCCAATTCAACAGTTAACAATACTAATTTAATAATATGTACAAACTTTCGCAGGCCGTATACTAAGCCCTATGTTAAATACCGCTAAAATAGATATTTACAGATTAAATGTTTATGCAATTATAAACAACAGCTAGTACTTACATTCTTGTTACTTACAATCGGTGCCAAGAAAGGGCATTCAACCTGTGATAGCAACCGCGACTGATGTTTTATATGACACTAGTAGTGCATCTGTACAGTCTCCGTTATTTATTGTCATGCAAATTTCTGTCGTCCGTCGACTACGCGGTTACACGGTTCCTCGGAGATGTCGGAGGATTATACTAAGTGTTCAAATAATATTGTATTTAACCGTGATTTGATGACAATGTACTTTCTTTCTCTCTTTATTAGTATATTTTGGGTATTACATTGTCTTGTATTGAATCTTATTCCCAAAGTGAAATTTTATCAACTTACGATTCACCCCTTTTCTTCTTTCAGAAAGAAAGGTATAATAATAATAAATACTTGTATACTTATACTTAATACTTACATCCTATACTTATTACTTACTTTTACAACCGACTTCAAAAAAAAGGAGGTTCTCAATTCGACTGTATTTTTCTTACGTTTGTTACTCGATTACTCGAAGACGCCTAGACCGATTTCAAAAATTCTTTTTTTTTTTCTTTGAAGGGGTAGGCTTATCATTTTGGTCTCATTGTCATGAAGTAAGGATCTGATGATGGAATCCTAGGGAAACCGAGGGGAACTTTTAAAAATTATAGGGGCGACTACCGCATTTGTTAATTTTTGCGTTAAGTATTTAAAACCACTACAATCTGTTAAAGGTCTGGAGTCTGGTCTGTTAAAGGTCTGCAGTCGATGGAACTCCTCAACCGTTAACAGTACCTACATAGTGTTTGGGTTTGATTAATTTGTATTGGTGAATTCTTTACACTTAGGTTGTATGTGATTGCCAATAAGGGTCTGATGATGAAGTAGTACCAGTTGAGGGAACTCCTCAACGGTGAACAATAGCTGTCTTGTGTTTAGGTTCGATTAATTTGTATTGATGAGGACTTTACACCTAGGTGTGGTGTGGTTGTCATTAAGGGTCATGATGAAGTAGTACGATAGTTGGGGGAACTCCTGAGCGATTACTAGTAGCTATCTTGTGTTTGAGTTTGATAAATTTGTATAGATGAAGACTTTATACCTAGGTGGTATGTGATTGCCAATAAGGGTCTGAAGATAAAGTAGTACCATAGTTGAGGGAACTCCTCAACGATTAACAGTCGCTATCTTGTGTTTGGGTTTGATTAATTTGTATTGATAGGGAGTTTATACCTAGGTGTGGTGTGGTTTTCGCTAAATGTCCAATGATGAAGTACCTAGTATGATAGCTAAGAGAACAATAGTTAACAGTAGCTACCTGGTGTTTTGAGCTTGAATAATATGTATTGATGAAAACTTTGCACCGATGTGAGTTATACATAATATAATATATTCTAGTACTAAACTAAAAAGTATAAAATAAAAAAACGGCGTTTCAAAAAACCGAATTCAAAAATAAAAACAAACGAAGAAGAGTTTTTTTGAACGCACTATTCTCCGGGATTAACTGTTTAAATTGTCTAATTGCTTTTGTATTGGATAGTCCATTTATTGAAGAAGGCTAAAGACTATATAACATCCCGTTACTGTTAATAGGAGTCGAGCACCGGGGTAATTTGGACGGGAGCAGATTTAATTTTTATTAAATTTTATACGTAGCTAGGTTTATTATTCATAAATGATTATTAGCAGTAACTACTTATTTATAATAACCACAGCGTCGGTTAAAATTCATCGAACTATATTGAACAAGCGAACGACGTTGTACAGCGGAAAATGATCATACGTCATAAGCCCATGATTGTAAAGCATTTAGTGACTCATTTTTACCGTCGCATACTTCACCGTTATGTGGCAGCATTAGCCCTGTCTGTTAGTCTGTATAAGCAGCCGCGATTGGAGCCCCCCTTAAGAAATATCAATTCATTACAATGGATCACCATCGAACTACATCCGTTTAGAGGTCTATTGTTAGACCTTTTATTACTAAACAATATGTTTTATAAATTGTCATAAATTCGAAAGAGCTTGTACTTCTGTAGGGATTAAATGCATTGTGTTAGCTTTATATGCTATATCAATTTTTTTTTATATTTGTTACTCTCCTAAAGGGGCATCCATAAATTACGTGAGGTGTTTTTTTAATTGTCCATCCCTCTCTCCCCCTTGGTGAGATTTTATTTCAACACCTTCCCCCATCCCCAATAGCACGTGAGATTTTTCTAAATGTTGGTTTTTCACGTAAAGTCGTTGGATTGCAAAAAGAAAAAAATCCATGTGCATGTACAATTAAATCTTAAGCATGTACTATCTATAATAAATGAACTAAAATAGTATATTTTTTACACATAAAAAAATTAAGTGATATTTGCCGAGACCCCCCTCTCTCCAACGTAAGATTATATGAGATTTGAGTCTACCCCTTCCCCCCCTTAAACATCTCACGTAATTTATGGACGCCCCTAATCAATTTTTTATAATTAAAAAATCTCATTATTATTGTATATTTTCCATAATAATATCATTATATGTTCATATTACGCGGCATATTTTATTTCAATTTATTGTATGTGTCATTGTGACTTTATTCAACCGCAGGGTTGTGGCAAATAAAATGACACCAGTAGACAAGGTCAACTTTGCTTACTGAAGTAGAAAGGTATAACTCGGGTGTAGCAATATATTTTATAAACCTCGCAAGAACTAATTACATTTTTAAGTCACAGCTATAATGCTAAAATAATTTCAATCAATGTTTATTGAACTTCATGTAGACTGCCTCATTGGCTGAGTGATCACAAGTTCGATGTCCGGGTCGGGCAAAGTATTACTGTATTCTTAAGAAAAACTCAGTAGTAGCACGGAATCTGGAAATGTGCCCGGTATATGGCAATAGCCTCACCCCCTATTACATGGGTATCATAACATAAATAGTGAAAAGTGGGTGTTACATTGTACAGTGGCATTAAGTGCTGTAATGTGCACCTCTGCCTACCCCTTCGGGGTTAAATGGCGTGATGTTATGAACCTAATATAGTGTAATAATGTTTTTAATGAGCTTGCTAGAGCAACATTGTTATTAGAAAATAAATTGATAATGTTTAACCATTTGTTTTTAATATTATAAAGACGTGTACCAATGTACATTTATATTACTATAGTACATGTTTTTAATTTAATGCAATCAGGTTTACGCTAGCAGACGTCCTTACGGGTAAAGTAAATAGGAAGAATTCCTGTTCTCACTGCTAAAAAATGTCATTAACAGATTGAATTGATATTGTATACTGAGTTAGCTAAATTAACGGTAATTTTGCTTAATTTATGCATGTGCATGAAGTACTTAATCCTAGTGATATTAATTGTTAGATAGGCAGCCCTAGCCATATGCAACATAATATGTCTTTGATCATGAGCATTGAAGGGTAACTACCTATCTAAAAATGACGCCAATCTTCCGTTACGAATACAATACTATAAATAATATTGCATTTGTTAATCTCCCTTCAGTCTCTCTGCGGATTTCACGGTTCAACATTGTACCTATTTGTAGTCATGGCCGATAGTAAGGTATTAATCAAATTGATACAATTGTCAGAGAATACCAGATTCAGATACGATGTGATTATACGGATAAAATATTCTTAGATGGTTTATTGTCAAAATTTAAGTTCTATTTCCTTCTGTTCTAGGCGGCCGAAGTTGCTTCTGAGCCTGCTGTTGCCGAGACTGCCGAAGAAGCAAAGAGTGAAAGCGAAACTAAAGAAGAGAAGACTCCAGAAACTCCTGTGACCGAACCGATTACTAATGGAAGCTCTACACCTGAGACTCCTAAGGATGAAAGCCCCGTAGTTGAAGAGCCGGTCGCGACTAGCCCTGCTGTTGACAGTCCAGAACCCCAACCTGAAACTCTACCTGAACAGTTACCTGTCAATGGACTGTCTTTAGAAGAACCTGTAAAGGAAATCGTGAAGGTTGAACAAAACGAGGAGATCAAAGAAGCACCTGTGGCTGATACGACAGAGATTGTACCTGAAATTCCCGTCAAAAAAGAGGTTTGTGTTGAACAAATGCCTTTGATAGATTCCACGCCTCCACCACTTCCTGCGAATCCTCCTCCTTCTTCTGTGGCATCCTTTGCTGCCACCACAATGGCACCAGAATCGTCAGATGCTTCGCTAGCTAACACCGCTGATAACGCAATTCCACCACCAATTTCTGATCCGATCGCAATTGATAAACTAGATGAACTTTCCCCTTTGTCCAATGAATTAACCATCACCCCAATTGTTAGCAATGAACTCTCCTCTCCCCTTAAACAAGATAGCGAAGAAGTTTCGGTTTCTATAGCTCCGATTGAACCTGAAACTAATCCTGTCCCTGAAGAAAATACGTCTAAAGTAGAAACTGTGAAAGTTGAAAGCGAAGCCGTTGAAGTGTCTGCGATCAATAATGAAACAGAAATAGAAAGTAAAGAAACCTCCGAGCATGATATGGAGATACCAGCGCCTTCGTCTGATGACTTAGAATTACCCGAGGAAAAGAATGACATATCGAATGGGACTGAAGATTTACCTTCACCCCCATCTCCGATATGTGATGAAATTGAAGTGATAAATGAGAAAAATGACGTCAAATTGGATAATACTCAAGTAACAATTGCAGAAGCAACTGATATTGTAATCAATTCGAATCACATATCTGATACTGAGAATTCGACTCCTTCTGATAATGACATCGGTAGTAAATATTCTGAACAAAATATTAAGGCCAAAGACTCGTTGGGTAATTTAATTGAAACTATAGAGTGTAATGGAAACATCGAGGACGAAAAGCTTACTTTACAAAAGGAATCTTCTGAAATAATACCGCCAATAGATACTAAAGAAATTAAGAACGTTGAATGCGTGAGGACGGCGACTACACCTGATGACTCATTGCCTCCGTCTCTGTCGGAGGCGAACGAGTCGGCTCCGGCGGCGGGTGTTACTAGTAATGACGAGTCGGAGTCGTTCCCGCTGCCACCCAGCGAGCTGTGCCGCTCTGAGTCCGAGCAGTCCCCGGCCGCGTCGCCCGAGTCGCCAGCCTCGCCCGCACCGGAGCCGGCTGCCGACACGCCCGCTCACACGCCACAGGTGAATACCGACCGGACAATCTTGTTTTGTAGTGGAATTAGTTCTGTAATGTAAGAAGCATTTGAATCACCCTGTTAACAGATCGTATTTAGATTCATGTGCATTATATACCAGCATGTGTGAACCGTTAATAACAAGGAGAAATTATACTCAGTGTGATCAATCTGACACAGTAATGAATACAGCCAATGGCTGCGTTCCTGTCCTTTCCCCTTCCTTTTAGTTTGAAATTGATATATAGATAAAATTAATATGCTAGCATGGTGACATAAACTAAGCTTTAGTGCTAACAATATGGCCGAGTTGGACATCACTTGTTTCACTCACTTCATCTTGTTCAATTTTATTTGAAGTAAGTGCTTAATGGTAAAATATTTACTATATTTACTTTTGAAATTCGTTTTATAGAATGAAAAAGAGTATGTTTATAAGTAGATCGCAGAATAATCGGCCTTATACGTATTTAGTAATAGATTAAGTATTACTAACATGCTTCTATAAAATAAGTGTATTTCGCTAGGTAGAAGAATACCTTCTTCACTAGCTAGAAGTTACTTTACACACCATAAAAATAATTTCATTTAGTTATACTTATCTTCTTTGGGAGAATATGTAAAATAAAAAGAAATACATACATACATACATAACTTCACGCCTGTCTCCGATGGGGGTAGGCAGAGACTAGGGCACGCCAATTACTACGATTCTTACATACCTCTCATCATTAACGCTCCTCGCTTCATTAACAGTCATCAATCTTTTCATGCATTTCGTCGGTTAAGGGTATTTTTAATTTGACCCTTTTTTAATATATCGCCAATCTGGTCACTATATGTCTGTCTAAGGCGACCTCTTCCGACGGCCCCAATTCACATTCGCTCTGCATACTTCTTTCGTTACTCTACTTTCATCCATCCTTTCTACATGTCCAAACCAGCGTAACATTCCCTTTTCTATCCTTGTCACTACATCATCTTTCAATCCACACCTTTCTCTAATAACATTATTTTTCCACTCGATCACTCAATTTTAGCCCACACTTCTCAGGGATTAATTACAGGCAGGATTAATGCGGTGGAAATGAGTTCCACCGCATTAATCCTGCTTTCATGCTTCTTCTGCCACACCCATGATTCACTACCATACATAAGCGTTGGTGTCAATACACACTGCATTACAGCAAGTCGAGCTTTGTTGGATATTATTTTACTCGACATTACAGAGTGTAAAGCACCATTAACACTATTTCCCGCTTTCACTCTCCTTTCAATACCCCCGTCACACTTTCCATCTCTCGTAAATAGCGATCCCAGATACACAAATTCATTCACTTGTTCCAATTATTCATCACCTATCATTACCTGACATTCTGTTATCACCTTATTTTTTTCTATCACCAACACTTTTGTCTTGTTCACATTTACTTTCATACCTTTCCTTTCAAATGCATCATAGCAGTGATCATTAGTTGTAATTCTTCGGCCGACGAGGCAACAAGCACCTGGTCGTCGGCATACAACAATGTTTTAATCACTGTGTCATTCATCCTTAATCCAGACTCTCCTACTTTCAGGTCGTAAAAAAAATATTATAAAAAATACTATTGAATATATATATATTTCTAATAGTTTAATATAATATTAAACTATTAGAAAATGTATAAAAGTGGGATAGTGACTTTTAGTATTAACCACTTGAATGCCCGTATATGAGACACAATAGAAAATACATTGTCTCGTAGACGCTATGCGACTTCGCGCCTTGGGGATTACGCCTTGATCAATTAAAGAACAATAGTACGCGAGATGTATTTTATTGTAACATTGCCGAAAAATATAGTTTTCATTGCAATTAGAAATTGTCTCCTCGTTTTTTCCCCGATTACTCGTTACTGATAGTGTTGGTAATATAGAATGTCAACTACCTTTGTTATCGTATTTACATATCAAGGTCTTTATTACTACATGTAAATGTTTTACTGAACGGAACTTCAAGTTTAGGTAAGATTAGTCTTGGAATAATATGAGTTAACATTCATAGAACATTATGAGCTCATAAATGTCGTTATCTTGAACGTAAGTCGTCTACGAATGTACTCTAGAATAATTACCATGTATTTTATAATATTGATAATGTATTTTATAGCACTTTGTGTTAAGAACTTGTGATTGCACGTCTTTTACCCTTCACTATTTTCTAAATGTCTATGGCACAGATTACAAAAAATGTTTTGTACCATTAAACATTCTACCAACTGTAAACTTCTAAGCTCATTTGTCAGCTTATTACTATTTAGTAGGTCCATATACTGAAACAAAAACTATAATCTGTTACTTAAATTATAGGTGAAATAAAAACCCTTTGTAATAACTGTACTCTGTATTAGCTGATACAGAGTACAATTATTACAAAGGGTTAGGCTACATCGCATTGAGGACCACCTTTACAGGCGTGCTGACTTTCTGATAAATGTAATTGACATAAAATATACCACATTGTTTATATAGTTAATTTTGTAAATACATCTTGGGGGTAGTGTCCATTGTGATAGTCTGTGAAACAGGTTATAAAAAGATACGGTTGTTTTACCAGGTTGTGTAACAACAAAACAACCTCAGTACCTTTGTTGTTACTCTGTTGTACACATTATTTTGATTACAAATGGTTGATTCCAGGATCCTCTCCCAGTAAGCGACAAGTTGGCAGAATTGATCCCGGAGGTTCCCGATGTGCCAGAACTCAAAACAGAAATGGTATTACTACAAATACATTGTCTTATCAAAATTGATATTGAATTTCGTAAAATGTATGATGTTCTAATATGGAATTCGCATGTTCAGTTGCAGGAGACGACGAGCGATGTAGCGGTGACCAACTAAAAGCCACAGATGAAAACAAGCCATCGTCCACGACACGGTAAATGTGTCTAAAATGAGCCTTTTATTTATTTCGATTTAGCACTGTGGTGTATTGTCGAACTAAGTTCGATCAATAATTTTTATTTACATCGTATGGTGGTTTTCAGTTCAGATGTGACGTTTCGTATTAGAATGATTATACTATAAGTTTAGCGTGCTTTGCTTCTATAAAAATAAGATTTTATACATTTTATTCGCTAGAATCGAGTTTTTATAATTATATTACATTAACAAAGTTATATCTAGACAGTATACGGTGCGATAAGTTGGTGCCATTATTACAGGGGTATAAGTTTGACGTTGTTGCGTGTCGCTTGATTTTTTATTAGCAATCGTATATCGCTAGGTATTATTGCTCTCTCCGTACGTACGCACTATAAATTTTGTAATTTGTAGTGCTTATTATTTTGAAAATCGTTCAAAATATCGTTTTGCCTACAATACTAACAAAAAGTCGTCGTGGTGATATTCAGATTCACCTCAAATATTAAACACATGTTTAAAAAATATTAAACACAATGTTTATAGTCATGGGCCTAGCAAATCCTCTAGAGCTGAAGCCAAAATTTATGGAATCGAAGAAACTAAAAACAGAAATTGTACATTTTGAGCGACGCAAATCACACATCATTTAAATCGAAAAAGATTATTAGGCCAGATGCATTGTGTGCAACAATGTACTGTATCAGAAACATTGTTGGAGTACACGGAAAGTTACATTTCTTAATGAATACGATACGTAGACCCCGTCGATGATGATCAGTGTCATCAGTTTTAGTAAATACAATTGAAATATTATTTTATTATGTATATATGAACACAGATTTCATTTACTCGTAAAACATACTTATGTTAATTATCAAATTGAAGTTTAAACTAACTTGTAAATTGTTAAGTATGAGGGAATATGAAATCTCATTAGTTTATGCTGTATCCACTGTGTTTTATTTTGTAGTTTTACATTAAGTTGTATAAAATTAGTCTGTCAGCAGCTCTCTGTAATGCAGTCATACGATTTTATTTCATTCATTCAATGACGGATAGTTGCTCCTTTGTATAATGATGAGTAAGGTTATGATCATATTTAAGCATTTTCTTACAGTAGCGTGTGATTGTTGAATCTAAATTTAATGGATGAGGATGGATTTATTGTTTTAAATTGATATTCAGTGGCCAAGTTTGTGATTACTATACAATTTGTAAACTTATACAGACATGATATTATTGTACTAATTAGAGTTGTAGTATGTGTAACGATTTAGTAAAAGCAGTTAGGTTATTATCAACTGCTATTAGTGTATTGGTTTCAACCTCATTCGTAAAATACAATTAGATGACTTATAAGGTTTGATATTACTATACAATATTAAGGTCATTTTCTATAACTGTGTGTCCAATAATCATATGATTTCAAGATCATTTTTGTAATTTTATACATTTTTTATGAAATTTAATGTGACATACACTGCACGATTGGGAGAAGTACTCCAGGTATATATTACGGAAAATGTGAGTGAGACATTCCATATCAAGTGCAAACTAAATTGCCTAAAATTCTGTAGTGCTGCATGCATGTATGCACCCTAGTTACTTCGTGAACTGTCCAAACGATCTCATTATTGCAATCGATCGTTTACTAACATCAGAACAAGACTCAACAGCAAACAATGTCTTGAATATATTTGTATCTAGAAATTTGTAAGTACCTTAAGAAAAATATACTAAAGTTCCACCTGGAACTAATATTTTAGTTTCCATATTATGCCCCCTAACTAATATTAAATTCAGGTCTCTTTAGAGTCCTGGTAGACTTACCACTTCCGCCGAATGTATTCCAGTAGTCATATATTTTGTTTTAAGAATTTCTTACTATTTTAGTAACCCAAAATTGACTGAGTTTATACACCTAATTCAAGGAAATTAACTTATTTGCTCATTATGCATCGTGGAATTTGTATGATAATTATAATAGGAAATTATGTTAATCCAATTATTGAAACTTAATGTTGATGTGTGAATGTCTCTAATCAATAAATGTAAAAAAAAATAATGTCTTTTCTTTAATACCTTCTCTATTTATATTAGGACTTATGTAGAATTACGGGTGCCTGGGGCTTGGAAATGTCGTGGTGGCCCGGGGGTTTAAGACCGGCTTTTCATGCATGAGAGTGTAGGTTCGAAACCTACCAACGGCAAGTACCTATGTGGCTCTTTCCGAGTTACATGTACTTTCAAATAACTTCATAATAATCCGGTTTTTGTTGAGTTTTTTAATGGTAAAATGCCGAAAGTGGTGTCAGGAGCTTGTTGTTTACAATGATAAATATAATCATGTACAGAGACATTCAGAAATGGGTAACTGAAAATGGAATCCACTATGAAGAATTTTTCATAAAGGCTGAGCTTATGTGGCTTGTGAATGAACATAAAACAACTCCAATATATGAAGCTGAAGAATGTTTGAAACAACATGGCGATGAAGTTTTGAAACTTCCCCCATATCATTGTGACTTAAACGCTATTGAACTCATATGGAGTTAGGCTAAAAGAAAAATATTTTTAGATTCCAGGTAATGAAATGGAGAACCTTATAAAATAATGTTTTTATAGTGTCACAGCCAATTATTGGAAAAAATGCACAGATCACACTATTAGTGTCGAAAACAAATATAAAGTAAGTGACAGGATATCCGAAACTGAGTTGGATGGAACCTTTCATCATTTCTGTTCGTAATAATGATACTGACAGTGATTTCTCATATGAAGGCATTGAATTTCTTGATTCTGATTTTAGTTCTGATTGTGACAAAGAAATATTTTCATTGAAAGGTTTTTTTTATTTATTTCAAACTAGCTTTTACCCGCGGCTTCGCTCGCGTCACAAAAGGATGAAAATTAGCCTATGTGACATACCAATACATACAGCGCCATCTATACCAACACTTTTGTTTTCCCTCGGGAATATGACATTTTTCCGAGATAAAAAGTTCCTTATTATTTAATCCGGACTTCTAACTTTACGTCTGCAAAAATTCAAAGCAATCGGTTTAGTAGTTACGGCGTGAAGGAGGAACAAACAAACAAACTCACTTTCCGATTTATAATATACTAGCGGCCCGTCCCGGCTTCGCACGGGGGGACTTAAGATTTTTTACATAGTTTTACCTTTTATTTATATTTATTCTCAGTTTTTTTTAGCGACCTGCCCTCCGTTGTCGATGTCGCGTCTTAAGGTAACCGATTGAACAATTCAAAAGTTATTTAGAGCAAACTTTTATAAGGATTGAACCATTCATTAAAACGATTGTTATGGGTAAACTATAAAAGGTAGACATATGCTCTCGCGGACTTTTTTAAAAATAATGTTAAGATAAACAATTCATCTATAGAACATTTTTGTATAACTTTAACTATATGCTCAGCGCACGCCACGGAAGGCCTCAGAAACGATACTTTTCCCCCGTTTTTAAAACATTTTTGGTTACTGCTCCACAACTATAGGACCTAGCGTGATATTATATAGCCTATGTTACTTCTGAATAATGCAGCTTTCGAATGGTGAAAAAATTATTGCAATCGGTTCAGTAGTTTTTGAGTTTATTCATTACAAACATACAAAAATACAAATATTTCCTCTTTATAATATTAGTATAGAAGTAAGGATGTTTTTTTTTATCAAAAAATCAAGTATCAATAAGTTTTCAGTGTGCTATATCAGTGTTGACACCTGAAAGATTTTTGAATTTGCCGCCTTTTTCATGGGACTAGACTCGCTTGACAGATAATATCTTATCTCTAAAAGAAAGTTGTTACTGGTGCACCACTATATGCAGAACTAATCTTACATGCACGACCTTGGTGATGACAGTTTCTCAATTTAGACAACTATATCACTATTTAAATAATAAAAGAAAATATAGTATGGAGAGTCATTACAAAAAAGTGATAACGCATACGGTAAAATGGGGTGAATAGGGTTTGAGCGGCGAAAAGGGGCAGAAGAGGGGTGAATTGATACTATGAAGAATTTCCTTATATCTATTCACCCCTCTTCAGTCCTTATTCACCTCTCGATGCCTATTCACCCCATTTTACGGTACATACGCACTTAATGTACTAGATATATACATCATAAACTAATGATAGGTACAATCAAAACAATGTAAAATGCGAATCACTCTTTATTTTAAGGATTCTAAACTGTTTATAATTTTCAACAACATGTCTTTATCGGCCTCATATAAGATCTTATTTGGTTTTCCAATTTTATTTAATGTTGTCATTACTAATTGTAGTAGTGGGTATTTGATTGTCTTCAATTCACTTGTTCCAAGGATTAATTTTACGATCCAATCATAGCCAAGAACAGTTTCACAGTAACTACTGTTGAAGTGATTGTAGGCTGAGTAAAGGACATTTGATTTGTTTGCTTCTAATAAGTCTAGAAAGCATTTTACTTTTTCAGGAACCCAGTCTTTACTTCTAATTACATCTTTAATTTTTTGCAAGTCATAATTGCAATCTGAAATAATTAAGATCAATTCCTGTTTAGCTACTTGAACAGTTTCAGCTTCTATGTATGGCATTGTTGATGTGGATTCTGAGTAATACAAATTAGCCAAGATTTGTTGTAATACCTGAAACCATAAAAATATTATTTAAGTAAGTAGGTACATTATTGGTTTATTGTATAATAGTCATATAGCACACCATAGCAGTCTTCAAATATTAGGTAGACACTATTCATATGAAACATTTCAGCGTGATAAGCTATGAGTTTGCTAATAGTGCTACCTCAGTTGTACATATATTACAAATAGTTCTTGGTGACCTTTAACTCGTCGAGTACCGGTTTTATAGACACAATTAAAGAACAATAGGTTGCGGTCACCGGTGACCGCTTGGTGTTTGACAGTTTAATTAACACTTGGTTAAATATTGATTGCCTAAGCCAAATCGAAAAATAAAATGTCCAGTAAATAAGGAGGAGCAATTGTGTTATTGGACCAAAACAATCCAGACCAAAAGAAGTAGGGAGGACACTGATATGTGTCACTTATATGCGACACAAGTAGAAAAAGGTTAATTTTATTTTCCAAAATAAGAAAATGTCTTTATTCAACACTTATTGGACATTTAGAACTAACCTTTTTCTTTTGACCGCTACATCTAAAAAGCAATTGTTGTGGACTCAGTGCCAAGCTAAGAACTAACCCTTAAATAATTGTTCAAAAGTAGTTTATTTTTTAAATACATACATAACATTACGCTTTTTTATCCCCGAAGGGGTAGGCAGAGGTGCACATTACGGCACTTTACTCGTCGAGTACTGTATTTATAGACACAATTAAAGAACAATAGGTTGCGGTCACCGGTGACCGCTGGGTGTTTGACAGTTTAATGCAACTGTACAATGTAACACCTACTTTTCACTATTTTTGTTATGAGTCCCATGTAATAGGGGGTGAGCCTATTGCCATAATATCCCGGGCACAATTCAAGACTCCGTGCTACTGAGTATTTTTAAAAACCCAGTAATACTTTGCCCGACTCGGGAACCGAACCCGAGACCCCTCGCCCGGCAGTCGCACTTGCGACCACTCGGCCAATGAGGCAGTTATATTTATTTTAAATTTTTTTTAAATAAAAACACGTTCATATTGCTAAGAATGATTCAAGACAAAAAAAAGAATGTAGCAAAAGATATATAAAAAAATTGTCGTATAAAAGTTCGACTTGTGGTTGTGACTGTGGCGTGCTGGGAACTTATTGTTTTGTTGTCTGTACATGACTCTGGCGGTCACAAGATTACGTGGGTACCTACTAGCTAAACTACAGATAACTTATTACGAACTGACCTTGGTTAGGGATATATTAATAGGTACTCATAATACTAGTATTGGTAGTAAAAGCAGGTTGAAATATTACACATCTTAAAGTGTGCAATAAAATGTATGTCACAGTCTAGTCTACAAAGTCAACCTCACAAAATACTATATTAGATACAGGTTTAAAAAAAAAACTTACATTTTGAAATAATTCAAACGATTCTATTTCAAATAATTTATCCATTTATCCTTTTATTAAAGTCAGAAAGTTATTCTATTTGTTGTTGTTTTTTTCTTTTCGCTTCTTTAGCAAACGAGATTTGTTGTTTTATTTATTGATAATTAGCTTGTCAAAGACGTCAATTCAATTTCGTTTGTGATTGTGACAGTTTTATGGTTTACTTGCGGCAGGTTGCGGTTGCCATTCAAGAAGAAAAAAAAAATATTGTCTCGAAAACACTGATATGCTAAAGGTATTACATCTATGCTCGATTCTATAAACGACACTATAAAATCATGCCAGTGACAATTTAATTAGAAAACATGGTGCAAAAACTATACTATACATCTAGAGACTATATAATATATAGTATATATAGACTGATAAAGATGGGTGATTTTACGCGGAAAAAAAATTACTTTTAATTTAATTAATTAATATTTTTCTAGAAATTAGATTTAAATTACTAACAATTGTCTATGGTTATGTTTTTTATGGTTGTCGGTGGCAACACTTTGGTAATGGCGCGAATTTATGAGAGTGGCCCACTGATATGGTAGGACTTATATCTATAGAGTGGCCGGTGGCGAGTTCCCATACTTCCCATAGATTTAATACTCTTTGCCCCTATACTTATTAGATAGAAAAGAAAGAAAGAAAAATAATTTATTCGCCACCAGACATGGACCACCGTATTAGGTATACTATTTGGTGGCGAGTGGTGGAGGGTTGAAAAGAAAATGTTTATTGGTTTATTGTCAAAAATTGTAAAGTCAATAAAAATAAAGTGCAGTTGTACATTAAAATCTGTGTTTCATTTTCACTACGCACGTGTACGGTTTACCAACAGATTTTTGTAGATATTTATTTATTAGACTACTGCCTCGTTGGCCGAGTGGTCGTAAGTGCGATTGCCGGGCAAGGGGTCTCGGGTTCGATTCCCGGGTCGGGCAAAGTATTACTGGGTTTTTAAATATTCTCAGTAGTAGCACGGAGTCTAGAATTGTGCCCGGTATATGGCAATAGGCTCACCCCCTATTACATGGGACTCATAACATAAATAGTGAAAACTGGGTATTACATTGTACAGTGGTATAATGTGCACCTCTGCCTACCCCTTCGGGGATAAAAGGCGTGATGTAATGTTATGTTATTTATTAGAGTCTCGACCGGAACTGACTGGGGAGCAATAGAAAATAATTAGAAAACTGGTAGCTAACGTAGGGCAGGGGATTTTTTACTTATCTTTTCTCGTGGTTCGTCTGTGGTGTATATTATATACAAATAAAAATTCATGCCAGCTCTCCTACTATATACAGTATATAGTAGGAGAGCTGGCAAGAATTTTTGGGTAGGTATTTGAGGCAAGCTGAAAACTTGTCCTGTACCTCTCCTATTATATCCCAACACGAAACCGCAGACCTGGCTGGTGAGTAGCGGGTCTAAATCAAACACTAAATTTTTAAAAATATATTATTTTTTTATACAAAAATATACTTGAGGCAATTTGCAATTTTTATATGTTGTAGTTTAATATTTACAGAATGTAAATAGAATAAGCCAGACGATTCAGCCGAGATTTTAACATTGCCAGATGCGTTCGAAAATAATTTCCATTGCCAGAGATCACACTCCCAGAGTTTGGGATGGGCGGACTGCTCGTATTGCAGCTCCACTGTCGAACATTGGCACCATGGTGAATCAACAAGCTTAGGTAAATGAGAACAATTTGCTTTTAAAATTGCCGTGGCCAGTAAGAAATTGGGCAACACAGTGATCCACCTCCAACCGCTCATGCACGGATGGGAAGAACAGGTGGAGCCCTTAATATAAGATTCTAATCTACACTGCCATCCATTTAATTATAAGCTCATCCCAAAAGTCCGTTAATGGCTTAAACAATCTAGCAATTTTATTTCGATTACGTTGTGCTAGAAAGCTTGCTGACAAATTAGGTCTCACATTGTAGTACATAGCAGCAGGACGCTGCACCTCAAGATCGACCGGAAGCACGCCCGCGAGCACAGGTCCCTCTCAGCCAGTCAGTGCTAACCGTCCTATAAGGCTTACACAGGAAAATCAAGACCCTGGGTAAGTTTTTGCTGTACCTACCGCGCGTATTGTAGCCCTATTAGCAGACAGGTGCCACGTAGCACACGCATCCCAGGTAGGTTGCTCCGTATATGATCCTGAGCGTAAGAGAGACCCCAGGTGGTTTTTGAAATTTGCGTCAGGTCAGCGCATAGAAGTTATTTTTGGGTTTCTCACTAATAGCCTTAATATGTTCAATGAAAGGAAAGTTTTTTTCCAAAACTAAACCGAGATAGCAAACAGACTCCTTTCGTTTTACGGAAACGTTGTTGAATTTAATAGATGGCCACGACTTTAGATTTCCTTTAAGCAATAGCTGGTAAGTTTTCTGGGGTGCAAAAGTCAGGCGATTTTGTTCGCCCCATCGTTCGTTCAATTGGCTAAAGAGAGGATTTTGCTAAAGACTGTGTCCTACTGACACAGACTTTAGCCAAATTCTCCAGCCCGGCGCGGGTATTTGACGGACAAAAGGCCATCATCCGCATATCCAGTCAAAATACCTACAGCCACAAGGAAAGGAAATCGCTAGCAAATCATCAAACCCTAAATTCCATAAATACCTACGGGCCAATAACCGAACCCTGAGGACATAACAAAATGGTACTTACTGATATTATTTTGCTTAGATGAGAATAGTATTACAGACGCAGCCAGCAGCCAGCAGCCTGCCCCTTACAACAGACGATACACCGGTGTGAAATACTGCCTCGATCTATTGAACACACCTAGTTTAGCTTTGAGGCTAATTTAGCCTTACTCACTAAATGACTACGGAATGAACAATATGGCTACACTAAATATTCTAATACTGACTTTTTTTTTTTTTTTTTAAGGGGGGAAAATCATCGAATGACTGCTCCCGCCTGGGTGAGGCGAAAGGGAGTGTCAGACTCTTACTGACTAAAAACCACCCCGTTCCTTCTCCTGCACGTCGAGCCGGAGCCCCGGTTACCCGTTAGGTTCTCCGCGACATTCTAATACTGACTAAGGTAGATAGATGGGTGCTCTAAAAGTAAAGGTCCCGTCTACTGCATATTAGGGAGGAGCCAAAAATTGTCTGTCTTTATACAGGAAGTATTAGTTCTTGTAAAGTGACTCCTGGTGGTATCATCTCGGATGATGTAGCAGCTCACAATTACTGGTGTCCGACAGCGCTGCCCCTTGTCTCCGTTTTCTCCGTCTCCTTTTTTCCTAGTCGTTCTAGATGGGATCATGCTTCCTATCAGTGATAAATCAGCACCGAGTGATAGAGTTGTGGGTTATACAACGACAACGTTTTGGAGGACTTGGACTACGTCGATCGTCGATAACCTACGACAGAAGTTGGCAAAAGCAGGACTGAAAATTAAGACCCTAGAGACCAAGAATGTGAGAGTGCAAAGAATCATACGCCGGAACGCATCCACAAAACCTACTTTGGGAGCATCGCGTCGTGTTAGAAACTGTGGTGGTGAAGAGAGCATTGCTTTAATAATCGCCTAATCCCTAATTACCTTCGCCCATTAGTGGCCTTTTTTGATGGACACGGTAACTGACTCGAAGGATTGAGTTCAAAATCTTCGGGTTTAATGCCTTTGTCTGCTTTACAGGCGCGAAATGTGGAAGGTCACCAAGGAATCTCATGCCAACTACAAGTTTTCATTTCAACCGTATCATGAAAACCCGATCGACCTCCTTGAAATTGAGATGAAGTGAGGGTGGAATGGTCACACACTTCGAAGGGTTGCTTCGAATCATATTACCCAAGTAAGCTTTGCCCGCAACGGAAAAGCAAGCTTGGCCACCGTCGATAAGCCTAGCATCGCACCGTGTTAGCTGATGTGACACGTATCTGTATTACGTTGAGCGCGATTAAGCGTGAACTTCAAGACCGATTACGCTTAATTCGAAGACGACTCACCTTCGAAGGTCAGCATATAACCAACGGTAGTTTTTATGTGCTAACTAGCAAACTCGGCCAACTCCGTTTCGCCACCAGATGGCTTCGTTTTATGTTAAATTTCGTTTGGTGATTAAAATATACTTTTCTTCGCTATAAACCTCACGGAGCCCGAGACCTTTCCAACGAATGCAAAACCATGGAAATCAGTTCGTGCGTTCTGGAGTTGTAGCGTTAGGATTTTAGGAAGGAAAATCAGACTTATTTTTATATAGTAGATTATGCAGATTTGTGTCCTCATGCGATTTAATTAAACAAGTCCCCAAGAGGCAAATTTAAAAGTCTGATTTTGCTCTCAAATACTCTCAACGATGTCTTCTTTAGAAATTGTAACGCAACCGGCGTAGAAAGCATCGCCTCGTGCTCGCCGTCCGCAGGCCCGGGCTTACGGTGGCCGAACATCGTCCCATGATCCCCAACGCCCGGGGTGTCTCTCGCGATGGCTGGGGCTTGAGGACGGTCGTTCCCTCACGCACTCCGCTTCCTTCTTAGCTAGCATGAGTACTTCCCAGATGGAGGAGACGGCATCCCAGTCCCTCTCGCTCCGTACCATGGTCTGAACGAGAGCCGGACGCGAGAGGTCACCGTCGCCGATCACGTCCTCAGGACACAGCGGTGCTCAGCCCACGCAGGGCACCTGCCACCGTATGTTCCACCGTGTCCTCCGAGTAGTCCTCGCAATGATGACACCCGGGCGTTTGCTCCCGTCCAATCCAAAACAGGAACCTACCAAAACTTCCATGTCCTGTAACTACCTGCGTCAGGCGGTAAGTGAGGTCGTCGTAGCGTCTCTCAAACCACTCTTCAAAGAGAGGACTTACCACTGCAATGAAAGCAAACCCAAAGTATCGCCTGAGCTGGCATTTGCTTATCAATTAATACTTCTGTTTTGTTGGAGGGTTTATTGATGATGAGTAATAGAAATAGCGATAGCGATAGTAAGCTGCCATGATTGACTACAAATACCGGTATCGAATTTGAGCTGGAACCAAAA